TTCTTATTTATTCTTATAGAAGTAAAGAAAGACATATTTTTGTTCAAGTAAACTTAGATTTTTTTGAATAATTTTTTTTTTTATGATTCTACCATCCAAGCCAAGAAGAGCGAGTATGAAATTTAGCCGTTGATTTTTTCAATAAGTTTATTTATATATTATGAATTTCATGTGACAACTTACTACTAAGCAGTATCAGATTATAAAATTTAAAATATATAGTATGTATTTAAAACAAATTAATATAACATATATATATAGTTAAATTAAAATAGTTACGTACCACGTAATAATCAGTAATCACATATTACACAGTAAAATGCATGCTTTAATTAATAATAAAACCGATACACAAAATAATCATCAGTATTGGCTTTAAAATCAAATATACTGTTACTATATAACTTAGAGTATGTTATATTTTTCTTAATCACTGAATAATTAGTTAGAAATTAAATGAAATTTATTTGCCAGAAGCATTGTAGATAAGATGTTGCATTTGTCAAGTTTACAAGTTGGATATTTCAAAGGGAAACTTATATATTATCATACTACGATTATATAATAATATTTACCGTTAATGGAAAATAAAAACGACATACAAAATGACTTTTTATATATTTATATAGTTTAATATTTAATAATAGTGCGCCACCTACCCTTTGTCTTTTTCTCGATGTCCTCTACCCAAAGGTTGTCTGGAAGAGATTGCTTAGCGATAAGACCGCCTTTTGTATCACTTCTCATTAATATTTACTGTATTTGTTATTTCTCTTTTTACTTATTTCAATCGTGCTCATGTCTATGGGCGACGGTTACCACTTTCCATCAGGTGGGCCGTCAGCTTGTTTGCCATTCTAAGTCGTAAAAAACAAAAAAAACTTGGTGCAATAAAGTGTAAAATAAATAAATAAATAACCAACTAACGTTTTTCGTCACAACTATACTCAGAGTACAATAGTATGGAACAGAGACTATTACGTGTACAAGTAAGTACTAGACAGAACAGTTGGGGGCATTATCTTTTCCATGACTCACGTGGTCGTGGAAATGAAATATGCAATATCCTTAGGTAACATGACGTTGGAATATTATGGTAGTTCTCAATTCGTTTGTATTTTTATGGCGTTTACATATAAGGTGGAATGTGATAAATTTGTCAGGTGGTCCCGGCATAGAATAGACCACTCTTTTCTTTCACGTGGGTATCGTAAGAAGCGATTAACAGAGGGTGAGGGATGGCCAGCAGCGTTCCTCTTAAAATATCTCCAAAGCCTAATTTCGGTTGCTAATCCGCCTGCCAGGCGCGGCAACTACTAGCAAAATCCCACTGGGGGACGTTTTTGTTCAGCAGTGGATAGTTAAAGACTGGCATGATGATGATGATGATGATGTAATTGCATTACAAGAAACGATATGTGTATTTATGACTGGCAATAGGTACAAATTCAGCATTTGCTGAAGTCACGTAGTATCTATTTATTGGGGAGAGGAAAGGGATTGTTAGTAAAAGGAGCTGACAGCCCCATTGCTAGCAATATACCTTAACAGATCGACAACCCCCCCCCCCCCGGAAATAATTATGGTTACTTTTGTAAAATTCGTCACGATGGGCTATCTGATCTGCTTTCATCCCCATTTGTCATCCTTCACTGGTGCCCCGCCAGTGTATACCGATAGCGCAAACGGGGTTACCATTCCGTTATCTTACTTTTTAATGGATAATAATGGTATGGTAACCCCGCCTGCGCTATCGGCATACACTGGCGGGGCACCAGTGAGGAATGATAGGTGAGGACGAACCATTCTATCATAACACCTGAGTTCTCAGGAATGGCAACGCATGGGGGGTGTCATGGGTGAAACGGTATACTCTGTTATGTCCATGGTACTGCTCATGTCTATAGGCGACGGTCACCACTTTCCATCAGGTGGGCGTCAGCTTGTTTTCCATTCTAAGTTGTATAAAAAACAAATCATCTATTAAAAAAAAAAATACTATCTATTAATTTTACGACATTAATATTATCAACAGCTGTACGTGTAAAGTCGGTTATTTGCCTGTTTATTTCACATTGAACAATACATATAAATAGAACTCTATGCTAATTGGGGGGAAAGGGATTGTTAGTAATGGGGTCAAAATAGCCCTATTACTAGCAATATACCCTGTCAGGTCGAGCTCCACGTGGTTCCACCTGGAAACCATCGTGACTAATTTTAGTTTAATTCGTCAGGATGGGCTAACTGTCCTACTTTCATCTTCGTCTGTCATCCCTCACTGGTGCCCTGCCAGTGTATACCAATAGCGCAGACGGGGTTACCATACCATTATCACCCATTAAAAAAAAACTCATGCTAATTATAACCATAATACACATACAAATGTAAAATTATCTTGTACATAAACGAATTGGAAAGAGCAACTGTTGATTCTTGCGAGTTCTTCTCGACAGGTAACAACACTCCGAATCCAACAGTAGAATTATAAAAAGTGACGATTTGAAAGACTGTGTAAACATGTTTATATGAATAAATATCATTTCTATTGTATTCCTCAGTAATGCATGCATTTAGTTTCGTGAAACCGAAACAGTTTACTGCACCATGCAACCTCGTTGTGGTGTGTTCCGTTATTTGAGATTTATTTCCTGTTTATTTACAAATATTGGCTTTTTTAATAATACTAATATGTTTATTTTACAAAAATACTTACCAATTAATCTATACTTATAATAAATCTGTAGAGAGGTCAATTCTGTACATGAAATATATTTACAAAATAATTATCAGGAGGTGATTAGTGATCGATACTGATGCCAAAAATGCAATTAGTAAAATTTCTGTCTGTCTGTTTGTATGTTCGTTATAGAAACAGAAACTACTCGACGGATTTTAACGAAACTTGGTACAATTATTCTTCATACTCCTGGGCAGGTTATAGTATACTTTTCATCACGCTACCATCAATAGGAGCAGAGCAGCGAAGGGAAATGTTGGGAAAACGGAAGAAGTTACTCCATTTTTAAGCTTCCGTCGCGTGAGCAGCCTTAATGGCCACTTTTTAAATTGTAAAAATGTCCACCCGTGCGACGCCGGGACGGGCCGCTAGTCAATAATGCTACCGTAGATTATATAGATGGAGTGACTCCATAGAAATGCTTCGAGAAAAACGGCTCAACTTTTTCATGCAAAATTGCATGATAAATAGTTGTGAGTGATATATTTGTAACCTGTATATTTATTTTGTCTTATAATTTCTCCATCTTTTTAATGCGTTAACAATCATTTTATTTATTAAGTAATATATCAAGACACATTTTATGCGTAATTATATAGAACACTGATAAAAACTACGAGTCAGCTAATTTGACAATTAGCTGACAAGAAGTTGACCCTTTTTTTTTTTATACAACTTAGAATGGCAAACAAGCTGACGGCCCACCTGATGGAAAGTGGTAACCGTCGCCTATAGACATGAGCAGTACCATGGACATAACAGAATATACTGTTTCGCCCATGATACCCCCCATGCGTTGCCATTCCTGAGGACTCAGGTGTTATTCCTCTGTACCCAGTAAATTCACGCCATATCCCACCCTTCAAACCGAAACAAAAACCCGTTTTTGAGACTCGATGCTCTATCTATATAATCTAATAAAGCTACATATTCAAATCATTACTCCAGTTTTACATCGAGTCTCGTCTATAGAGACAATTCAATATAATCTAAAGAGAACTGAAACCCAAAACTCTATCCGTCATCAGTCAGACTACGTAGTCTTACAGTTGACCAGTTTTTGAAAACTTTGTTGCCTTAAAATCGATGTCGTTTTTGGAATAGTAAAAGGGATAGTCAATAACGGGGTCTAACAGCCCCATTGCTGGGGGGGGAAAGGGATTGTTAGTAATGAAGACTGAGAATCCCATTGCTAGCGATATACCATGGGTTACCATACCATTTTCACCCATCAAAAAAAATATTGGTTGTTGGGCCAAAATATAGATATCTTAACTAAAATATATATAGATATTGCTGTATATAACCCACCCCTAGTTTATATCTTGACTTAATAGAATACTTTACGTACTGATTTACGCAGGCAAAGCCACGGAATACAGCTAGTGTGTTATAAATGTAATAAAAAAATAATAAAATAGAGCATAAAGCGGCGGAATAATTTGTGACTCACCATCATCGCTCGAAAAACTACTGTAACAGTGTTATGGCGGGTTCACATAGCGCCCAACCCAATATTCTACAGTTCTAATAGTTCGTTAGAATAGACTGAGATAGATTTGCAATAGTATTTATAAATATTTAAAAAAATCTGAAAGACTACTGATTGACAAATGTTATTATAATATTGACGAATTTTTAAGTGACAAATTTTAATTTGTTTCTCTTTTAACATTTGCTATTGACATTATAATTTTATTTGACTTTTTATTTGTTTTGAATTTTATATGACTTTATTTGACTTTGTTAATATGGTTTTGTTAATATTGTTCTCTCCTAACAATAACATTAAGTATTTAGTTTATATCTAATCTTCACAAAACATTAATATATTTTGTAAGGCATAGATAGATAGAAAGCATAGGTTTACTTTGTAAGGCAATTGAAATTGCCACTGTCCTTAAAATAATATTTTGCACGCTAATTTTAGCAAAACATGTTAGAACTATATAAATCTTACAATGCACAACAAGCATGTCTTTGCACTTACTATGTACACATGTTTGCAATTAAATTTATCTTTATTTTTTAAATTAATTATCTTTCTAATTCTGGATACGCATCAATAACACATGTATTAGTAGTTATCTAATCATAATTAATTTTTAGTAATAAAGCCGAATATAGATATTAAGAATACAGATTATATCTATTAATTTTATTCTGTAAATAATTCGTATTATCATTGTGGAATTTAAATTGCATTTTTATCACTAATTCGTTTAATGTCATGTAAACTCGCCCTTATCAATGGCAAGGATTCCACAACACGCAACGCCAGTCTCAGTTCGCTTACCGCCGGTGCGCTCTGTTGTTAAATAACGAAACATTTTAATCTTCCTAATTAAATATAGACAAATACGTGTAAATATTTGAAATAAAAGTAATGATATTTGTGTTTGCTTTATCTGTGGTATTGTTCGATAACTTCATAAGGAGTAAGGGATTTGAAAATAGAACGTAATAATTTGTATTTCGATCGTGTTTTTTTAGTGTTTTTTTTTTTATTCCAATGAACGTGTTACGCTTGTGAATCTGTGGTATGAGCAATTTGGCGGTATTCGCCTTTAATAATGGCAGTGTATTGTAAACAGTGATTAAAAAGAGCAAATTTATATAAACCAAAAGCTTAGTATTGAAGTTGTTGTTAAAGTGCCTACCTATATATAGATTTATGTGCGTTTCTCTTGTGACATAATTGAAATATTTTTGGATCATGAATGGAGTCACTTGAAGGAGGTATACCTATTTTTTTTATCATGATCTAGATAGTAGTGGCAGTTGTTATAATCTGTGTTTATATTAATCTCTATCTTGTTTATATTTGTTATCAGTTGGTAATGGCCTCAGAGATGAGACAAGGCTAACAAATAACGCTGATCTACCTATATTGCCTTGTAGTGAAGTTACCAGAACTCCTAGAGGGATATTTTTCTTAGACCGATTTTATTATTGTACATGGAACAAAGTAATATTGTAAATCTGAAATCTAATTAAGTAATTGTTAGTAATGGAGATTGTATTATTGTTAGCAATATACCTTGTCTGGTAGACCTCCTCGCGGTCCCTCTGGAAATGTGCTTAAATTCAGGTGATTTTATCACTGTAGTCTAACTGATCTGCCTTTTCATCCTCACCTATTATTTTTCACTGGTGACCGGCCAGTGTATACATTTCGATTATCATCTATTAAAAAAAAAACTCTTATGTCATTGTCGTAAGATTTAATTTAACGATGAGGCCAATTGTTTCCTTCAAATGTTTTAGTTACATTCTACGCATAATAAAATAGCACTATTTTCTTATAAGGTTTCTAAATTTGTACTTTATACGTATTTATTTATTCATTAGTACAAATATGTGTACATGGCGAATTTAATGCTAAAAGCATTCTCTCCCAGTCAACCATAGGGAAGTGTCAGAATACTCGAATGCGGTACTAGTAATTATTGATATACATACATACTAAAATTACATATATAAACGAATAAAGATATATAATTAAACAAATATACTTACACATATATGACATGTACTATATTATACACGAAGTTGAGAATAATATAAAGTATTTACTGCTCGGATGTATGTATATGTAAAATAAGCATTTCAGAACAAACAGCTACTGGCAACATTGTCTTTTATATCAAAGTTGGTCTCTTTAGCTTTAGGGATTAATTGAAAAATGTCATGGACAGTAATAGGTAATCGCTATTATTAGAACAGGCGTATATAAGGGAGTGGCGGATGGGTCGGACCCACCCTGAAATCGTCTAGCTACCCCACAATACGAGCAAAGCTTCACAGACATGTTTGAGAATAGATATGCGCCTATTTCAACCGACTTCTGTCCCATTCGTGTTTCTACCGTGAAGCAGTTGTGTTTGCATGGCTGTGTTTCGGTTTGAAGGGTGGGATATGGCGTGAATTTACAGAGTACAGAAGAATAACATCTGAGTCCTTAGGAATGGCAACGCATGAGGGGTATCATGAGCGAAACAGTATACTCTGTTATGTCCATGGTACTGCTCATGTCGATAGGCGACGGTTACCCCTTTCCATCAGGTGGGCCGTCAGCTCGTTTGTCATTCTAAGTTGTATAATAAAAAAAAAACTTCAGAAGGAAGTTCCCAATTCGCTTGTATTTTTTATTATTTTACGTTTGTTACCTCATAACTCCGTCAGTTCTAAACCGATTTGTGAAATGTTTATATGAAAAGATATACTTACAGGTTGGTCTCAAAGAAATTTTATGAAAATTGGTTTAGGAGTTTGATTTTTATATCAAAATAACTGATTTTGTTACAATTGAAATGGTTTTTGTTTTGAAAAATTTTTTGAAAAGCTCTCTTTATTAAAAGAATCCCTGAAAAATAATCTTGAACACGTTTAACATCACAGTATAGTCCCGAATATATTTCGGGATTGATAGTAGACAAAGAAATGTCATTGTCAAAGTGACATTTCGGAGTTTGTCAACATTTCCGTAAACATATAATGTAATGTAAATAGGACTCCATTTTCTGTACTTAGCTCATTTGGGCCGTTGTGCGTATGAGTCGTGGCTAGTACAACCAACCAAGCTCTGCCCAAAAGCACAGAAGCTTCCTGGGTTCTTCACAGGCCTCATGGAATTACCTTACCGTTCCGAGGATTTCTAAACGTTGATGGGCCACAGCTTCACATTCCAGGATTACGTGAGCAGCCGTTTCTTCGGCGTCGAAACAGCCTCGACATAGAGGGCTGTCTGTGGCTCCTATTGTGTATAAATGTTTGTTTAATGGACAATGGCCCGTTATTGTCCCTATCATTATTTTGAGGTTTTTCCTATCTACTCCATAAACATATAAGTATGTGAGTCCGCGATTTTATGCATAATTTTGTTTGTAGATTTTTATTGTATATAATACACTTAGATTATATAGATAGAGCATCGAACCTCAAAAACGGGTCAACTTTTTGTCAGCTAATTCTCAAATTAGCTGACTTGTTTTTTTTTTTTATCATATTCTATATACTTGCGCATATAATGTATTTTGACGTATCTATATTTAATTATTTACTAAATAAAATAACATTTTTTTTTGTATTAAAAAGATACAAAAAGTATAAAACGATATTTATTTCGTATAAATTATAAAAGAAACACCCGATTATTTGTCACACAAAATTGTATGAAATAATTAAAATATACTTATATTGACTCAGATTATACAAGGAAATATCACCTAAATTACTCGATAATTGTCAAAACAAATTATTAGCTCATGAAACAATCGTTATCTGGACAGACAGACATCGTCCAACGAAAAATTTAACAAATATTTGAAAACAAAAATGCCGAATTGATCCATTGTCGGTCTCTAGTTTTATGCTTAACAACAAACTTAGGGTTTCATTTATATAGATAATAGTAGGTTATTTCTAGAATAATTCATAATATTATGTTTAAAAATTTCTGTATTATCTCTGTATAATCACTTTGATGAAAGGACCTAAAAATTATTTACGTAAAAATTTAAAATGATGACGTTCGTAAAGAGATAGATATAAAAAGACATTAGTTAAATGTTTTGACGTATCGCCAGAACTAAAAATATTTTCGATATACGTATAAAAGTGCCATAGCTTCGTAGTAACTCGCTAGAAGTTTGAAGGTTTTGTTTTGTTGTTAAAAAACATTGCTCTGCCAAGAACGACAGCTTCAATGAGGGCACTAAATGAATATAGGGTCAACTCTGAGGTAAATCCAATATATTATAAAATAATCGTGAAAATCGGTTTGTGATTGGCAATGTAATAGTACACATACACACACAAAGAAAAAACTTCGAAATTAGTGGTGAATCTACGTATTCTGTTTCGTTGGTAAACTTCTAAATTGTGACTGTAAGAGATAGAAGTCCACTACTGCATGTTAAATATTTTTATATTTCTTCAATTTTAGAATTGTTAATCGTTTACCTAGTTATATTTTAATGCTGGGAGAAACATCAGGCGGTTAAGAGTCAAACCAGCTCCACTATACACTGGGCTACTGTGTAGAAATGGATCAGCCAATGTAGAAATATATTATACTTATATGTAGTTATATAGTATAAAATAAATTTTCCTCATAATTATATTCTAAATTTATAATGTTGAATGTATTCATACTAGGATTATTTGTTTGCAGTTTATTGGAATCTAAATTGCAGAATCGTAAAATGCTCCGTTTGTTTCTATTATAAAAATTATGTCGCACAAAAAAACCGACTTCAATTGTCACAAATCCTAACTAAATTTTTAAACTTTGACCTAAAAAGTAAGCTATTGAATCGATTTTGATAAAATTTATATGGGACCAAACTGTATGTGAAATCGGTTAAGAACAATAAATTGAGCACACCTGCAATGCTGTTGGTGTTGTGGGTGATCATGGGCGGCGGTAGTCACTTACCATCAGGTGAGCCGCACGCTCGTTTGCCCCCTGTGTTGTATAAAAAAACCTCCCGTTTGAAGTAGGTTGATAAACGTTTGTGGCTCGAGTATGGTTTTTCTTTGTTGTAGCCAAAACATTAGCATCTTTAGCGGATAGCTTGGGAGTCTAAAATAGAGAGTGTGCTACCGTGTTTAGATCTACTAGTCTTCTGACGCTCTTGAAAGCTATATTTAGATTAATTCGCCGTTTCGCCCATATATTTCATACTCTTGATTTATCGCCATCAAGAATCCAATCTAAAGAAATAAACTGTACTATTAACGAAGTAACCAAACCAAACGAAATAGTTTTATAAATAAATTATAGTATAGAAATATTTGTATGTACCTAATTGGTTCCTTTTAAAGGACTTTAACACAGAAGGTCCTCAATTGGTTTGAGCAGTTTTGTAACGCAAATACACCACCAATTTTGATAATTCTTTTTGCCTAATTGATTGGATTCACTTTCGTGTGTCGTTGAAGTTACCGGTTTCTTTTGGAGGAAATACTAAGTTCTAAGACTGAAACCCGATTTCTAAAATCACGCCCCAAAAAGTGCGAAATTCCGAGGGTTTCCCTAAAGACTACAGTATGGGGCTGGTCAAATTAAAGTCTCTTCATGGTCGGTAACGCGTACCGTCTATACGTACGACATCCCTAGTCTTGCAAGTCGTATACATATGATGCAGTGACCGTTTGCCACCCTCGTGGTACAAAAGAAAATTATCAGAGGATACACATTAGAGGAGATATTAATTACTAATATTTCCTTCTATCTTCTTTATTATTTTTCTTTCTATCTTAATTGCATTTTCCAACAAATTGATTTTCCTCAAAAACGTAGAGTCTGAACGAGACTGTTCTATGTCAATATGTTATGTTATTAATCCTTGATTAAAAGGAAATAGCCGTGATAAATACAGTGCTATTATCAATGCACATTTTCTGATTAGAAATATTACAAGCATAGAGACTGCTGCATAATGTAGTGGTTTTAAATTTATTGTCACTGCCCATTTATTATAATATACTAATATATATATATCTTTGTTTTTTTTTTTTGTCTAATTTGACTTGACCTTTTTACGTGTGTGACATCCGTGTCGTTTATGTATATTTTAGCTTAATACGTAAGTATCTAATTTCGCCACGTATATAAGACTATCACTTTGCAATGTTCTTTTTTATTTATTTAAATGCACTATCGGGACTTATGATGATTATCATATCAGCTTTTAACTGTCCACTGCTGAACATAAGCCTCCCTCTTGGGGTGT